AAAATTTATTCATTTTTGTACTAGTAATTACTCATAAATGTGTAAAATTTTACTCATTTTGTGGGTAGTCCCGTTTTCATTCAAAAATGTGTACTTTATAGTCATAAAAGAGTTTTTTGCGATTACCGTGTAGATGTGAACGATACAAAAAGGTATTATTCGTTTTTAGAGATTTAAGCTCGATTACATCGGATACACTACACACGCTAACTTGAAAGTACCCATTAATGAGTACAAATTCATCAATTTTATAGAAAAGTGGCTTAACTCATTTAATGAGTAAAACCGGCTTTACTCATTAATTAGTATTCAAGGAATACTTAAAAAAATGGGTAATTTTGACCCTTCATGTTTATTCTATACATGAGTAGAAAGTACCCATTTTATTGAAAATTTTGCTTCATGGGGCACCCTGTCATCAGAGATATAACCAAGAAATACATTGTGAAAAAAAAAAATCAAATTAAAAGGGATTGAAACTCTTTATATTGTACATATATTGATCATCAACGATTAAGATTTAACTTTTTTGATGAATTTATGACTAAATGGGCGGGAAACCTCTCCAGAGTTCCATCCACGTCCTCAAGACCGTAGTTGAAAAAATTCACCTGGCGGAAGCTTCTCCCTGAAAAATGCATTGAAATGTTGTGCTGGACATTCCCACAACGGCCTCCACCATCCAATCACGATTTCGATGTGTCGGTTGCAGCTCATGCAGTTTTCTCAGCATGATCAGCAACAAATGAATGTTCTTCTTCGTGATGGATGCTGCTATCGAATGGTCCGGTTCCTTGTGAAACTTCTTCTAAGATCTCCGCAAACCTGAAACGATACACATTATTAGAACAATTTGTATGAATGTCGCACTTCTATATAATCCCTACCTTGTAACAACTAGCTTTCCATAGTTGGAAAACTCGCGAGAACTCCCAACCAGGTAAATTTTCCTCCTGATATGCGAAAATGGCGTCTCTTTTTTGCATTGAAATATGGATGATTTTTTTACCCATTTTTATTTCAAGCCGATTTTCTCAAAATTAATAAAAAGTAAACATTTCTCATTTTGTAAAAATACCCATTTTTTGACAGCTAAGCATACATTTAAAAAATGAGTACAATATACTCAATCAATGGGTACTTTCAAGTTAGCGTGTAATCGATAAAATGGATTTGTCCGACTATGAATCGAATCATCGAACTTTAGGGTTAGTTTTGGCAAAAGTTGAATAAATCTGGGACTCAAAAATATAAACAGTTCAAAGCAAATTGACGTTCAGCATCAAATAAGGTACAAAATCTGATGGAAGGTGTGAAACGTAAAGCCCGACAGTTCGCATCAAATAATTTTCCTGTATTTTATAGTCATTGAATTTAAAAAAAAAATAACATAATGAGTGTGCACTTAATCACGGTTGACAGTTCCAACCTTTATGCGATTTCCGACAATTGGATGATAATTTAAGTGCACGGGATCTTGACAAATTTGCTATGTCTGATTTAACTAAACTATTTCTTGGGAACTTATCTCAAAATATCTTCGAAAATGTCTCACGAATTTTCGTTATGTGAATTCCAAAATATCTTCGTGATTATTTTCAGGATTCCCCTCAATAATCTTTTGATTCATTCCGCAGTATTGGAAATATGTGCAGAACACTTTAAAAATTACAATACACTACATGTATCTTTGTATTATTAATAATTCTCTCGTGAATTTACTTTAATTTATCTCCTTAATTTTCAATAAAATTTCCTTGGAACATTTCTTAGAAATCTTTTGGTTTATCCGGATTGATTCGTGTTTAGGGTGTACATGCTTTGGACTATGAGCATGAGCATGAGCATGATTGACTGCTCGAGGATGCAACTCCGTTATTGACGGATCATCTTATAACTGATGTCAAGCACTTAGCATTCACCAACTACCTACTCGGAGATCAAACATACAGCACCCGGTCGACTCAGGCGACAAGAGCAAGCTCCGGAACACCCAGGGTCGGCTAGCTACCGGGTAATCAGAGGGTTTCGCGATACAAAAACGAAGAACTTTCACTTTTCTTTAAATGCGTTTATTTGCCACTTTCTGTGTTGTGTGCGTGTTGTTCTGTGTTCATAATTTCGTGTAATATGTGTCGTGTAGCCAAATCGCGTTGTTTACTGTACCGGTACATACCGCTGCTGTCGTTGATGGTGAATCGGGATGGCCGACACAGTGACTCCTGTCCTACTGTGCGGCCGGAACTCTCGCCAGATTGGCGAAGCGAGCGGATGATAGGCCAGCGGGCGTTGCTGGACGATGGGATAGCAGGCGTCGTCCTTCGTTGGCACGATCGGCTGACCGTGGCAAGGCCACCTTGGTCAAGCCGAGAAGGGAAAACTATTTTTCGATTATGGCCTACGTTTGGCCAGATAGTAGTGTTTCGGCTCGGAAACTGTTCCAATATTTCTCGAGCCGGCCGTGTGCTGACGGATGACCTTTTAAGGTCCAATATAAAAAGAGGTCCTGAACGTTAGCTTGCCCTAGCGCACCTAGCTGCTGCTAAGGGGGGGGGGGGGGGTGTCCTGGTTCACGGTCTAAAACACCAACCACTGCACTTAGCTAATTAAATTGCGTTTTAGCACACGGACGCCTTATATTAAAAAAGAGCCCGATTTTGGGCAATGGCCGTTCTTCTCCCCAAATTTCTTTCATCCCGTCATCCTAGTTTTCTATGTTTGTTTGTAGTTCTATTGTGGACATAACGTAACGGCACAACATTTTCACAGCGGTACAGAACCCTATCACTTCTGTGGTATACTGCTGTTCTTGCACAAGAAACGTGAAGGTTCTGAATATATAACATAAATGACAAAAACCTATGAATTTGTGACCAAACGGTTACAAACTATAATTACACCGAGATCCATTAGACGGTTCTTGGGGCCAGTGTTCGGAAAAACTCAAAAACTCAAATCTCATGCCTACGAATTTTGCCTGCCAAAATTCAACATCGCAAAAATCACCGCTGAGTTTTCAGGTTCAAGTCTTTTTTTTACACGGTTTTTTTTGTCACGGTTTTTTGAGATTTATACGGTACGTTTTTAGCAATTTCTCGACAACGATACAACCTATCGACTTGATTCCAAACACATTATCCGTTTCCAGATTTCCAGTGAAATCTAGATGTATGAGTGCTCATTGAAAGACAGCGTATATCACGTGATATACGCTGTAATGTGAACGGGGTATTACATATGCTTATAATTTTTGAAGTTATCAAGTTTCGGGTTTTCGCTAAATACCTCGACTATGTCTGGATCTCGAAAGAAGTTACCTTGATATGAAGGATTTTTGGTAGCAAAATAACGTTCGGTGACATATCTTTCGGCGAAATGCCCTTCGGTGAAATGCTCTTCGGTGAAATATCCTTCGGTAAAATGTCCTTCGGTGAAATGACCCACTCGGCGAATTTTGTTTTTTTAGTTAAGTGCCTTTGAATACCATAATCAATCAATGTGGGTGATTTTAATTTGATGTACGGAATCCGTTTCATTTGCTTTTGCTATCATTTAAAAACACAATCATTTCATGATTGGCATGATGTTTATTACAGTGTATGACCCATTCCCCCGAATACCATTATACCCGCCGGTCAAACTCCGAATACCAAATCGCTAATCAATTATTCTGCTAGATTTTCTCAAGTGTTCCTGACTGAAGGCAAAAACGCACCGGCTGCATTCAAAATAATAATTTGTATAGATAACTTGTCAATATCACTTCTACGCAATAAAAAGCAGGAAAGAAAAACACACGATGGAAAAAATCTGACGTTCACCTCCGTTCGCCTCGCCGATGAACGTAAATAAATAAACGACAGTTTGTTTACATATTTATCAGTTTGTCAACTCTAATGTGTTGTTAAAGTATTTTAATTGGCCTCCGCCTCCGCCCACCGTTTATAATCATCTGAACGGTCAGTGAGGTGCGGCGCGGAGCATGGCGTGTTTATTTGTTAAAACAATTCCTACAATTTTTGTTTTGGTTTCGCCGCTCTCTTCGTCAAGCCTCTCCGGTGATGACGACGAGTTCAGGTAGAGTCGGTGGAGGTTTTATATCGCTTGCTGCGATTTGTATTCGTTCGATTCGGTATTCGATTGTGTCGCGAAAAAAAAAAACAGTATATTTGTTTTTATTTATCTCAGTCACAGTAGTACGGTAGTCATCATAGTACGCCGAAGAAGGAGAGGGATAGGTCATTGTTGCCTCGGAAACCATAGGGGACGTTTTGCCTTGCCAGATGCGAAGCTGTCGTCGTCGTCGTCGCATCGTGTGTGTAGTGTGTGCGTGTGCGGTCATCGACAAGAAACAAACCGATACCACTAGTAGTAGAGGGAGAAAAAAAGTTGGAATAATAAAATAATATTATTTCAGTGATTATAGCGAAAATAAATACAGAGTGGAAAAAAGTCCCGCCGGAGTGATGAAGTTTTCGCACGCGGATCGAGGGGGAGTTTATCTTGTCTCGGTAGCCATAGCAAATTGCATTTTGCTGTGTGTCGTCGCCGTCATCGTCGGTGAAGGAGAACCAAGTGTGCGTGTCAACCTGCGGAAGTGATTGTTCCCGTTTCATTCGGTTTATTGCACCGATCGGAAGGGATCGAAAGGGGCAGGGCTAACCGTGCATCTCACTCCGGCGCAGGCTTACCAGGTAGAGGAAAGTCAGCTATCTTTGTTGCACTAATGGCGAATGGACGTTGTAGGACGAGGATGGCAAAAGCGGAACCGAGCAATCATCGTTCGTTCAACCCCCACTGAAAAACGCATGAATGAATGAAGCCGTCTTGCTTGTGGTGAGGTACCGGCTGGACATGCGAGAGAGCAGGATGGCGGATACACGCTGCCGTAACCATGGCACGCTTGGATGTAGTGGTGTTTGTATGCGTAGAAGTCTGTTTTTACTGCTGCTCACTGGTTGCTGCGCTTCGTTAAATCAGTGTCGTCGCAGCAAGAAGTGAGGAAAAATCATCATCATCGTCGGTCCCGCTGCTAGTACGCTAATCGGTCCCAACTGTTTTTGTATATTTTTGGACGTCCGAGTGTGTTGATATGTTATTTTATCGTTGGAACCCGTCGCTGCAATAGCAAGTTTTGCTCACTCGCGCCCGCTCGCAGTGCCGCCGTGTGTTTGTGCGCCCAATTTTCGAACCAGGAACGTCCACACGGCCATAGGGACGAGCCACCAGTTAGTGTCGGTACCGCACCGATGGTGGATGTGTGTTTTTTGTTATTTATGATAATAAAGTGAAATTTTGATTGAAAACAATGTCGGTGTGATATTTACCTTCGACCGTCTCGCCTTTTTCGTAAATGCTCCGGGTTTTTATTATTATTGGAAGCAAGACGATTAGTGACAGTGAGCGGCGGGTGAACCCGTCCGACCTGCGGAGAAAAAGAGTTTAACGAAAAAAATATTTGCACAAATTTGTTGTGGAAGATAATATTGTTCGGAATAACAAATTCAGTTGTTTAAATTGAAAACAAACGTGGTTAGTGGACTGCAGAGACACGCGACTTCTTTGGCAACTGAGTGTGTTTACAGTGGAGAAGAACGAAGATGCATACTCTATTTACGGATCAAAATACATTCTCGCGGCACTATGGCCATGCACAGCCGGGATATCCTACGAACACGGCAGCCATGGCTCCTGCTCATCACTACACCTATGATCAATACTCGCGATATACCTATGCAGGATCGGCGTACGCTCTGGCGGCCCCTCACCAAAATAAGGAAATGGTGAAGCCGCCGTATTCCTACATTGCATTAATTGCGATGGCTATCCAGCAGTCGCCGGAGAAGAAAGTCACCTTAAATGGAATCTATCAGTACATCATGGAACGGTTTCCCTACTACCGGGATAACAAACAAGGTTGGCAGAACTCGATTAGGCACAATCTAAGCCTGAACGAGTGTTTTGTAAAAGTGGCCCGAGACGACAAAAAGCCGGGTAAAGGAAGCTACTGGACGCTGGATCCGGACTCGTACAATATGTTCGATAATGGGTCATTCCTCCGACGCAGACGACGCTTCAAGAAAAAGGATGCCCTCAAAGAAAAGGAGGAAATGATTAAGCGGCAAACTATGATGCTCGAAGACAAGATGGGTGATATCAAACCAATCAAGATTATGGGCTCTAGCCACCATCACCTGGACGGCAAGCAGCTCTCCCATCAATTCAAGCGGGAACCGGGACTAGATCTAGCCACTCAGTGCATGGTGAAAGACGGTCTTGCTCCGACAATCCTCAACACCTGCCACGATACACTCGCCACCCAGATGAATCACCTGTCAGCCAGCGATCACGGGTTCTCGGTAGATTCCTTAATGAATGTCTACAACCCACGGCTTCACCACACGTCCTATCCGTATCACTTCAACGAAGAAAATCTGGTGACGACCTCGAGCCAGTTACGTCATCACCACAGCACCGCCCATCATCCACCACCCCATGGAGGTTGGTACACCCCTGAAACGCCTCCGGAATCCATTGGGAACACCTCCGGTGGAAGTGCGTCCGCTCCTCACATCCCTACGTCAACGCCTACCTCGACCGGATTCCGAGATATGGTGTTCGATCATAGTCAAACCAACTGCCAAATGGATACGGGCAGCCCCAGCAATAGCATTACATCGGCCAGTCCACCGGTGATTCCTGGAACGGCAGCGAGCAGTGCAGCTGCGGCAGCCGCCGCTGCAGCCGGACACCTAACGGCCGGCAACCTGAGTCACCTAGGCCACTACCGATCACACGTTGGCTATTATCAGGACTGTGGCATCAAGTACGGCGTGTAAAGTGATCCGAGGTATTAGATATTGTAGATAAGTTGTTCAGATCTCTCACGCTCTTGTGCTGAAGAGGCTTAAAAGCATCAATCATCGCCCCGTTTCGATAGCTCCTCATTCAGACTGGGTACTCTTCACCTGAAGAAGCTTCTTCGCCAAATTCAAGCCTCAGTTGGCCTTGGAAAATATTTCCACTTGCGACGGGGGTTTCGTTTTAACTTTCCTTGTTGTGAGAATGCGGCTCTACGGTTGCTTTGTTCATTATTTATTTCGTTTCCCTGGTAATCCGTGTTAATTTTAGAACCCGATTCCGCTGAATTCTTTAGGAAAACTTTCCAGACAAGCCGCAGCACAGTTGCCTGAGTGGATCTGAACCCGACGCGAAACAAGTGAGTGAAATTAAGGCGAAAATCAATGACTGAAGCTCGAATTTAATTTATTTCTATACAAACGTTTACGTTATACTCTTAAAGGCACTGAGAGGAAACAACGCACTTGAATCGAGCATCTCATTCCCAGCTATATACCTATCAGTCTCTATCATCTCTCCGGTGAAGAGTTTATGTAGAAGTAGAAACAGCAGATTGCAATTTTGAATGATTCGTTACTAACTGTTCAAACTTAGGCATTTTATTGGACTCTGTAAATGTTACGACAATTTTTACTCCGGAAAAGAGAGCAAGCTCGTTTGGCGAACTGCGATGCAAACAAAAACTGTAAATATTAGTATTGTAGTTTTTACCGGTGTATAGTCAATCGAGAACAAACCATGACAAAATGGCTTATCTCTGTGCAAAGAAAAACAAAAAAAAGTAATCCACTTCAATTTCAACTGTCATGACCGATGAGCGAACACAATAGAGGGCTAGGTGAACGTGCAAATAGACTTCCTTTTTTTTCTCCAGCAAAGAGAAGATTAAAACGTTAGCGATGTGATGTTTCGTAATAAATCTGTGAAATTTGAATGTATGCTGCTATGCGTCCGTTGGCTGGTTGGTTGCTTGATTGGTTGGTGTGAATGTAAAGTCCTATCCGTTCCGGCGCTCGAGTACCATTTCGAAGGGTACCGAATCCAAAGCGATTCCATTGTTTGATCCCTGATTTCCATTTGTTCCTATTTTGTGCTACCGAAACTGTATAGAGTAGAAGCATTGCCGGTCGGGAACGGCACAGATGTCGGTCAGGAATCGAAAAAAAAAACAGAAAGTTTTTCAATCCATGTGGAAGGCAAAGGGTCTCTAGGCTTTGAGAGGAGCTGTAGGGAGAGAAGAGAAGGAACAGGGACTAGTTGTGACTTTAAGTTTGGAGTATTGTTCTCATCTGTGTAAAAAATAAAAAAAAATAAAAAATTAAACACTGCGAATATATTTTAAGGAATCTCTCATCTGTACGTGCATTGCAAGAAGATGTATTGTAAAATTAGTATTTAATAACAATAGATTCAAATTAATTATGGTAATAAATCAACGATGAAAATATTATATCGAGCAAAATTTAAAACAAACGGATTGATTTTTTTTTGTGGAGAGTTATTGATGACAAGACATGTTTGGATCAGGGAAAACTCAAATTTTGAATTTAGATTTAGAAAGTAACTGGGGTTTTGCAATTAAACGTACGAAAATGGTTGAACAAAGTACACAGCAAAAAAATATTTTTGATATCACATCAAAGTGGATGCACTACAATCATGTCGAAAATTTCATGTAATTTTTATGACCACATAAATAAACAAATGCAGTAAAAGCAGCGTAATGTCAGTTCATGCATTGTATTAATGATAATTTTGTCCTTTTTAGCAAGTAATATTACACCATATTTTCGACATGATTGTAGTGCATCCACATTGACGTGATATCAAAATTATTTTTTTGCTGTGTATAAACTGGGAATTGGCGTATTTCCTAAGATAAAATCATAAATAGTGTGCGCTATCTAGGTTAGCTGAAATTACATACATTTAATTCTGGGATCCAAGATAATTGTAGAACCGCTAAAAACAGAATTGCAACCGCTTGTGTATTGAGTCATATTTAACTTATTTATTAGGGTGTGTCAAACAAATGGACTGATGGAACAGTTATAACTTTTGACAGGCATAGTAAAGCATTTGCATTCATTTTGTGCATTCATTTACATTCATTTACCTCTAACTTTTTTCATTTACAGAATTCCATAAAATAATTTGTGATAATATGATGTAATGTTTTGTAGGTTTTAATATATGTAAGCTACAATTGTTGTTTTTATCTCAAATCTGTTTATCTTATGCATGATGAACCAGAGCGAACACCATTGTTTTTCAGTGAATTTACATTACATTCGCTGAAAAACAATAACAAGTTCTTCCCGCTCTAGTTCGTTATGCATAAGAGATACAGATTTGAGTTACTGATAAATCTTTTTTTTTTCCTTGATTTGTTTTCCGTCGATCTTGTTTTCCGTGCCGAGCACCAATGCTACCGACGCCAGGGAGGCAGCTCCCACACCTGGACCCTACCTATCGACTCATCAACTCATGAACCGGGGACCAACGGCTTTACTGGGACGAACCAAGGCCTGCTGGGGTGAGAGGTAATCACGCTTACCACTACACCACTGACGCCGCTACTGATAAAACTTGTACCTTATATCAAATCGTATAAAAGCCTTATACATTATTTTACGGAATTCTGTTGATGAAAAAAGTTAGAGATTAATGAATGTGAATGAATGCACGAAATCAATGTATTTGATGTTCCCTGCCTTATGATTGATTGTGCTTGCACAGATTTTGTACCTTAGATAGCCTAAGGACGGTATTTCCATGTCGAAGGTGGTGGGTTCGTATTCCGTACACAGCAAAAAAAAAATGTAATATCGATCAATGTAATTCAAGCTGATGTATGAAATAATGATGTAATAGCAAAAAGCAGATACAATATTACATCAATGGTTGTAATTTTGGTCGCAAAATCGATGTACATCTTACAACTTTATATTACACAACCGATGGATTGACCTGGTTGCAGCAGTTTGGATGTAATATTCAACAACTTTTTTTTTCTGTTTACAGTCAACTTTCGTTCGTTTGGCTAAACTCATAGCCCACTTAGTGAAAAGCTTTCGTTAGTTGGGCTGAGCTGTCAACTAAAAATTGGTTGAGGGATAAACCGATTTATTATTATCAAAATCATTTAGCAATTGTCCAAATTGTTCATTCATGTCCATTCGAAATGGAATCAGCACTGTCATAAATGACGTTTGACTTTGGTTTAGGTGGGCTACAACCCAACTAACGGGAGCCCAACTAAAACGTAGCCCACTTAAAGATAGCCCTACTAGAGAAATTCGACTGTACCCCGAATGTATTACTACCCGGAATTTCATTAAATATATTCCAAGATGGAAATGTTTCCTTCTTTATTAATAAATTTGAATAGTTTGAATCTAAATTTGTTCAGATGGGCGTTGAGAAAAATGGTTAAAGAACAAAAAGTCGAAAGGACAAAATATCGATAAAGTAACATACTGAGTAAAGCAAGCAAATTTATCTTACAAAGTTGATTTCATTTTCTTGGTGATGTCTTCTTCTTTAAAACATGAGCAATTTTTTGACAGATGCTGCTATTGAACCTCGTATTGAATATTCTAACTGCAATACTCGTAAGCCATTTCTCTCTCTTGAAGAAGACTCCCTACTTAGAAACATGAAAAATTCTTTGACAAATGCATGCTATTGAACAATCTAACTTCTGGTGAAACGGTACGTCATGCAACATTCAATGAAAGTGTTATTCATATGTGTGTTAGATAAAAATTGTAAATCACTGATTACATACCTTCAAAGAATGGTTAAAATTGTATGATTAAGTAGGATTCATATTGCAATACTTATCCTCCAAAATTTTGCCAATTTATGCCTTCAATACCTGTTTTCACTAGCTTTCACTTCTCGGAACCGTACTAAAAACAATTACGGCACGTGCTTCTAACTACACTTTCAAACTTTTTCAAAGTAGATTACTAATTAATGAATATCAATTTAATCGTTAAAAACCCATATTGATCCACCGGGCAGGTGAATTGAACCTTTGTTACACAGTATAATCAACAATCAATACAAAACTAACGATTTTAAATTGGCTCACCATTTTAGTAGCCTATTGGTCCCAAGCAAACGATTAACGTACCCTATTCTAGTTGAAATTCTATTACTACACTATGTTTGTTTTGATTCGCTATGAAAGTTTGACAGATAACATCAGGGGTGTGTGGATTCATGCAGAACATGCAGGGGTGAGTGAAATAGCTTGGGACTGCTTGGGACCGTTGTTCTGGTACTGAGTGAGCCAAAAATAATAATGATTTTCTTCGGGACCCAGTGGTCTTAGAGTTACCTCTATGGTATAATCACCAACAAACCGACTTGCCACAGGTGCATTTCGTTTGTCCACAATTCGATTTGTCAAATGTGAGCGATTCCATCTGCCAAACGGGCGATCAGAACTTTCAAACGAGGTGAGACAAAAACCAAGGCAATATAAATTCTACGTGTGTTTGTGTCCTTGCTCATGATATGACGCGATCAGATGAGTAGATGGCGGTAGTGTTTAACGTATTTTAAATATGGCGTCTTGGGCAAAAGTTTGAATGTAGCTTGTATAAGCTGTCACGTCGGTTCGTCGGTGGTAGAATCTCGTTTTTGATATACGAGGCCTTAATGAATATTTTTATTTTTATTGGTCTCAGTTTCTGCACTGGTGCGGCCTAGCACTAGGCGTGTCTTAAGTCACGAGAAAACGGGTTCGGAAAGTTTTGTTGGCAATAGCTGATGTGCTTTTTTCTTTTGTTGGTCGTGATTTGACAGATCAATTGGTCAAACAGCTTTTTGACAGCTCAATTGGTTACCGAGATTCTCTCCGCCAGGCTATGAATATAACGACTATACAGCTAACATCATCTTCTGTCGAACTGTCCTGTGAGCTTAGCGAGAAATTTGTTTATGTTGCCGTGGTAAATCAAAGAGAAAGTCGATGAAAAGAATCGATCAACGAGGATAGACCCTTTTCAAATGTTACGCGAGAATACAGAATTAAATCTAGATAAACATTTCAAAAGGTCCTATCTGCATTGATCGATTCTCTTCATCGACTTTCTCTTTCGTTAATAACGCAGCTGCAAAACCTTTCCCTGTTGTGGGATTACATTGCAGAGATCGAAGTGTGCGGTGTTCGAAGACAGACGTGATTTTTTTTTCTCTTGTCAAATATATTGATTTTGTTCCGTTTTTTCGTGTTTCGGGTAGTTTCGGTTGGAGTTTAGTACGATTTTACACAGAAAGTTTTCAAGAATCGCCAATGACGAAGACAGGTCTGCAAAATCTGAAAAAATTTGAAACTGGCTAGAAACCCAACGCAATGGAATCCCATGAATTTACCATAAAGGAATTCAAATAGAGCAAGAAGCAGCTTTTTCAACATCACAAAATTGGTGAAAGCTATCCATTTTTTTTATTAAAACACTCACACATACACATTTACTTTATATATGATATCGTAAATCTGCCAGCAACGTTTACCGAACGTATGGCCTTACCCTCCTCACTAAGAAACCTCCTAACTCCTGTGACACTTATCAGCGGTCGTAGAGTTCTCTGCATCTCTCTTAAGTAAGTGTCCAACTAAAAATCCTTCCCATCCCCAACAGTTGCAAGGACGTGGCCAGGACGGTTCTCGATTATTGTAGATACTGCTACTTTCATCTAAGAGGCCGAGATCAATCCCATATCTCGGTCAATACGGTAACGGACGGAGGTGGCAGTACTCACATAAAATGGTCTAGGACTTATACCACCTACGAATTTGTGCAACTTGCTTAATGCTAATGCTAATGCAAAACCTTTCCCTGTTGTATTTGATGTTTTGGACGCTAGATAAAAATCTCCGTTTTCAAACTATGCGGTAAAATTAGCGCGAAATCTGTTTGCATAGCAATGGTTATCAAAAGAGAAAGTCGATGAAGAGAATCGATCAACGCAGATAGACCACTTGATCGAGAAATTCAAAAAAAAAAGTGGCATCATTGCTTATGGCAGACTACGTCAACGGGACCGTTTGGTCAGAGTTTCCAGATTTGTTCCACGATGTATCAGTTCTAATAGTGATTTTTAAAAA